TTCATGTCGTCTTTATTTACATCATGATCATTTCGTAGGATTCTGAAAGAAAAACAAACGAAGAATAGATGATAGGAAGAGTGTTTGATTTGGTTTGAAAAATTAGAAAGACGTACTTGCCGAGCAGCGATCGAGGATCATACTCTCGATAAGACTGTTGGGAGTTTTTTGATAAAGAATTGATTAGATTACTATTCATTGCTGCTGTTGGATCATGGGGAATAGCTCCATTTAAGATATTCGGATTGCTATACGTTGGTTGCATGGCGGGAAAATGCTGTTGCCATAGCTGATAATCATAACCCGATGGATGTGTAATAATCACTGGTTGTGAGGATAATGACTGTTGTTGAGCGTGACTAGATCGCTTTTGTTTCGCGTTTAGTAAAGTTGATCTAGGATAGAAAGAGAAGATATATTGATTCAGGTGAGATTTGAACGAATGAATGATGTGAAGTATACTTGATTTGAACCATTGATTCATTATTTTCGATTTGTTGTTGGATACGTGCGAAATCAGCTGACGCTACTGTTGACGATGGAACATGAACAGGAATTGGTGGTCCAAAAAGAAATTGACTATTGGATGAAGTAATCGATGGAGTAGATGACGATGGTTGATTATTCACAAGTCGAGAGACAAATTCTGCATGAAATGAAATCAATAATTTTATTTCACTCTTCAATCAACCGTTCTATCGTTTACCAAGCATTGGATCTTGAGAGACGAAGAGAGCAGCATATTGATCACTTGATGCTGTATTTTGATTGCTAGTACCGTTCGATGTGTCATGTGGATTACGAAGTGATGCACTGGAAGCAAATCCTGTGGTTGTACGTGGTAGAGCACCATACGGATAATGATTAAAATAGCCTAAAATGTAACGGATTTAATGAGAAATTTAGTATCGCTTGAAATCATGTTTTTCTTTCACCTCGTAGACCTGCTCTTGAACCTCGTAATGCGGTTTGTCTTGAAAGTGGACGTCGTTGTGCGTTACTATTTCCACTAAAGGCGGCCGTATAAGCGTTTCTAGCGGCTGCTAACGATGAGGCATGGGCAAGTCTTTGACGAGCAGCTTCTTGACGTCGATGTTCCTCTTCAATAAATGCTCGATGGTCAGGATCGTATAAAGATGGTTCTTCTTCTTCTTCTTCATTATCTTCATCCGAGTCTTCCTTCGAAAGAAAGTCAATCGTTATTGACGTCAATTCATAATTTGCCAAATTACTTCTTCATTTTCACAACGCCGAGATTGAGTCGCGGCCGATGAAGGTGTCACATCTTCATCACCACCACCATCATGGACTGTAGCAATATGATCCGCAAGAAGAACAAATCGCGCTCGATTACCGTGCGATGGCGATGTCACACAGATTGGACACATCTAAGATTAAAATAACCATAGAATATCTATGAAACAACACTTATTGATGAGTAAAGAAATGTAAATCCTATTCTCCTCTGTGGAATAGCTTAATTTAGAGAATTCTTCTGTTTTGAATACACCACTAATAAATGCCTCTATTTTTATCCGAAAGAAAATGAAGGTCTTACATACAACAACTTGGCTATTTTTGTTTTGCACCGATGTTGATGAATGTTTTTCCACACAATGTGTGAGTAATGTTCGTGGAATAAAACCAGACAATCCACAATGCGGACATGTCAATGATACTGCTGTACGACGGGATGTGGATTCGCCAGAATAGAACAATTCTACGAGAAAAAAATTACCAAATCCTATCTGGCAAACGATCATTGTTTTTACAAACCAGCTGCTGCTTCTGTTAGTATGCATTGCATTGGATGAGTATTTTTATGGTTTTGACTTTCCGCTTCCACGTCATAGCACGCTCCACAAAGATCATAGTTTTCACATAATAAACATTTGTAACGTCGACCGGGAAAATTCGTTCTCATGCAAGCATCACATGAAACACCTGAAACGAGAAATTCAATCGTAAAAGATGAAAGTTCTTTCCAAGTCTTTCATACCACTGTGCGAAGTCATTCGTTTATTTTTATTTCCTCTGTTTGATGATCTAGAAATACATTGAAGATAAATATTACGAAAAGAAAAAGAATACAGCGAAACAAACGACAACAAAGGATATTTATTGCGAAAAAATAGAATGATAAGTAACGTTAAATGGACTAGATCAAGATTTTTTTATAAACGGAAATGAATGATAACGATAAAATAAATAGATTGGTTTCAAATATGTTCATAGTCATTGTCATTCCTACGATTTGCTGTTCCTGAGCCGTCAGCCAGAAATGATTCTAAATCGTCTTCGTCGTTATGTTCAATAGTCGATTCGATTGCCGGAGTAATAGCTGTTTTCGTAGATGAAGCTTTCTTTTTCTTTTTTATTTTTGTAGTATCGGTTGTAGAGCTTGTTTCCTCCTAGGAAAGATAATCAATAGGAAAACTTGATGATTATTTTGTCAACAAGGTTTACTTTTTTCGATTTTGTTGTCGTCTTCTTTTTCTTCGGTTTTGTAGCACTTGCATCACTGTGAATACTTTGGGAATCTGGAAGGCAGTCAAGAGGTTTAGTCAACACGTAACGGAAATCGAGTCGTACCTGGTGTTGGTGTATCATTGGTCAAGTTTTTGGGTTTTGATGAAGATAATTGATCGAGAAAATCGAGATCATCGGCTGATATTTGATGATAGATAGGTGGCGGAGGTGGTGATGGTTGGAGAGATGTTGGATTAGAGACCTAAAATTTAGTTCGATCATATATTTTCAAAGACAAATTATACTTACAGGTTCAATTGTTGGTGATGATGGTTCGTAATCATAAGATTCATTAGTTCTGCAATAGTTCATACATAGTTATTTATACTTTTGAAGAGAAGCAACTTACATAACAGGTTGCTGATGTTGTTCATCATCGGAATCTAATTGTTCGCGGAAACCTTTTACCATTGGATTGACGGCCGGTTCATTTTCACTGAAAGAGCATTTTTTCAATAGGTAAAATACTGAAGCTACACGCTTACTCATCCGTTGTCGATAGTTTTGTTGCCGTTGACCGATTAAATGGATCAGCTGATAAATGCTGTTGCGGAGAGATATTATCATCAACAAGAAATGTTTCGTAATCGTTATCATCAGGCACAAAATCATCAACAGTGGATGCTACCAATGGATTCGATGATGGAGGTGGTTCAGAGTACTCATCGGATGGCAGATGTTGTTTTTCCATACTATTATCGGTTGAATTATCATGAATAGGTGATTTTGGTACAACTAAAATCTTAAATAAGCTTTTCTCTTAGTCAAACGTGTTTAATTTACCTTGTTGAACGATTGGTTGTACAGCAACCACAGGTGGTTTCTGCTTAGTAGTTAATGTCGGTTTAATCGGATCTGCGGGCGTTTCCGTCGTCTTTTTAATAACCTGTACAATTGTATTCAATGGTTTGGATGTAAATTGTTGCTGTTGTAATTGTTCAGCTAATAGGGCCGCTTGAACGGCTTCATCGTGAATACGTTTAGCTTCTTCTAACGGTTTCGCTTTAGCTAAAACATCGCCGGCAAGCGCTTCTTGTTTTGTTCGACGTTTATTAGCGAGTGTCTCAATGAATAGATTGTAATCATTTTCTGAACTACGTGAGTATGCATCGATTTCTTCAATGGATGCGTCCATATCACGTGCATTGATTTGTAATTGTTGGAGCAAACATTCGCGTTGTAATTGTAAAAATGGAATATTTAAAAATTGATGAATATATTGAAGACCAAAGCCATTTCGCAGTGAACTTTCACAATAACGAACAACAGAACCCATCGTCCCCCTTGAAAATCAAATCAATGTCAATCTCATTCGATGATCAATCAGATTTTACCTATCGAGATGTTCAATAAAACTTAAACATTTATCAGTGGACACTTTCCGATGATGACCCATATCCAATTGATTTCCAATAACCAGAACTGGAATGTGTGCTGGAACTTTCACAATTTCTCTCTCAATGTAATCCCATGTCCATGGTTTGGTTATATCGTAGACCATTAGAACTCCTGCAGTACTTTTATAAACGTCAAGAAATTCCGCGTCGAGCGATACTTCCGCGACAGCAGCATCGATTGAATTAGATAGTTTAAGTGAAGGATTAATGGGACGTCGTTTCTTTCGCGATTTATCAACCACATCCCAGACTTCAACTTTGATAATTGCATCGCCACAAACGCGTGACGACCAATTAATTGTTGCAACACGAATCTCGTCTGAGGGAACATAATCTTCAATGAATGGTGTACCTTGTAAACGTGACCATAATACCGATTTGCCTGTGTTACACTCGCCGCGTATGACTAGTTTCACTGAAAAGAGAAAACAAAAAAATATTCGATTCTTAACTAGGAAAAAGATGTCCTTGAGTACAATCGTTGCTTACTGTTATACTGAACTCCACGCGCATATCTCTTTTGTAGTCCTTGACTGAGTGGTTTGAAATTTTCATTGGATTTCGACGGAGATATCGTCGATTGTGATCCGTTAGCATTTGTAGATAGATGATTAGTATGTGCAGGATTCTCTGGGATAGCTTGATTTGTTTCGTTAGTTGCTGTTGCTGTTCCAGAAGTTGATGATGAATCGTTCGTTGTAATCAAACGTTTCAATGCTTGAACAAATGACATCTAGAGGAGGAAAAGGTTATAAAGATTAGGAAGAAGTTTTCTATTTGAAGAACAATTATCAGTTTGGTTGGTTTGACTTATTTGATGTTTTCTTTTCTCATCTAGTAAAAAGACTAGAGCGACCGAGAGGTGATCAACGATGACAATGAATCATAGCATATGTAGCAAAAAACCATATAATAAAAAAGAACATAGATGGAGATAGTTGACAATGCGTGTAACCTTGTCGTATGTTTTTTCGTTTGTTTATGAAGTTTTATTTAGAAATCTATAGGAAAAGAAAAGAAATTCAAAACGATTTATACTTTTATTAAAAAACAAAAACAAGAAAAATCAAGTCTTTACGCTCTTTGTCTATGATATGCACCATGGGGTGAACGGTGATGATACAAAGATACGTGAGGCACTGGATTTCGTCGTATATGGTGATAATGAGGTTTTCTATATACAATCGCTGGTGCTGTGAGTGCCTGTGACGACGCAAACGCTGATGAATATGGATCTTGACCTAAAACACGTTGAACACCATCCGAAAGTTTAATGAGCATATGTTGACCATATGTCATTGGTTCCACAGCAGATCTCATCACTGGCAAAGGAGTCATTCGTTGTTGTTGCTGATATAGTTCATAGTTTCTCAATTGTGACCAGAAGCCAACATTAGGCAAAGCTATCTGTCGTCTCTGCTTCACCAAAGTATATGCATCCGATAATGATAAACGATAATGTTTAATTAAATACGCTAAGATAAATGTGATCGATCGTGAACGTCCATGATGACAGTAGAGAAGTGTTCGTCGATTTGCTGCTGTATTTGCAGCAATACGATCGGCAACAACATCAAAGTATTGATTAGCTGGAAATGTTGGCAAGTCCAGAATAGGAAATTTCAACGATTCGATGCCACTTTGAGGAGGAAATATAATCTGAGGAAGTTCATCTGCTACATTGATAACACAACCGATGCCATTAGAAAATACCGTAGTAAATTGCCGAGCTGTTTCTTCCGCAGTAACAAATATATATGGAGTTATTTGCGAAACGGAATAATCGACCATAACTGGCATTAAACTTACATTTGATGCATTCGATACAAAGGAATTGTCTCGAGTCAACGTCATATTGAAAGCAAGTAGAAATGTGTAAATGCTAGTAATGAATATATATTAAAGAAAGTCAGAACAGTTTTGATGATACTATTGGCGTGATTTATTTTCGATTTATGAAGGACATCAAAGGGAAGGAAGAGCAATTTTACAGGTGAATGCTGTTTACCTTTCAGTTTTTCTTCTTTACAGTTTGTCATAATTATTTTTATTCTTGCTTAGATTCATCATCCGTGGTATCTTATCAGTTGAGTGTATGTACATCTGTCATCTATTCACCCAATCACATATTCCGCACTAATGATCAATTATTTACATATAACTAGATATGCTACGCAGGTATTTCAAAAATGTGATTCGGAAAAATATTTCACCTCACCGAGAAATACGACAGACATGAAAATAATCATGTTTATGCCTGTCAACAAACGTAGATTATCAGTTATAAATGCTAATGATTTATTTTCAATTACGTCTTTTTTCGTTCGATTACTGTACGAAATGTACACAAATGAATCATGTCGAATTTGATTGAAATAGATGACAATCAGTACCTTCACTTTTCCGACCATGATAATAAACATTCAATGCATCTTTCGCATACCCATTGCCTAACGTCGTAAACGTTGATGACATTAATCCAGGCATTTTGACACCTTCGTAATAAACATGATAAGCATCTTTGGCATATCCATCTTTGAGAGTTTCGAACGAATGCGAATGTGCACCATCGATCACATGACCGGCATAGTAGACCCGGAAAGGATCACGAGCATAGCCGAAGCCGATATCTTCAAATGCCATGGCGATCATCGAATCGATCCGTTCTCCGCGATAAGAAACGTGAATTCCATCACTGACATAACCCGATTGATTCTGAAACATGCTTTTCATCTCTAATCGAATTCAAATGTAAATGAAGAACTTCGTTTTCTTTTTCGATGAATTTCTCAGTATAAACAATGAAAATATTTGTATTAGGAAAGCTAAAAAAGCATTTCAGATGACGTTACATGCAAGACGAACCAAATCGATATTGAATGAAAAATAGATGTAATTATGTAATAGTACAAATCGATCAAAATAAAACTAATATACGTAAATGAGCATTTTCAGGTAAAATAATTGCTATTGATCAATAAATAAACATCGCTTTCTTAGCAAATATTATTGATTTGTTATTCGAAAGTGTATTGTTCATTGGCAGAGAAGAGAACGATATGTCGAACTAATTTCTTTTTTTTTTATTTATTTACATAATTTATCTGTCTTTTTTTTTCTTTATATGTCCAAAATAGAGACGAAAAGTGTTTTCAAACGCACCAGAGAGAAACAACAAAAAACAAACGGTAACGACATAAAAATAGGCTGTGTTAGTATTGATAAAACATTTTTTTTCTTCTCTCATTTTTTCAAATGATTCGCGACCTGTGTTTTTCTAGCGTATTGTCGAACAATAAAACAGAAAAACATAATAATAGGAATAAAATAATAGGAATAAGAAAACAAACAAAAGAAGAATTCTCTTTTTTTTTCTTTGTAAATAATAATATCAAGAAGAAGATGATGATGACATGTACACATACATACAAATAAATAATACAGAAGTCGTGTGTGTTTCAATTCGAATCGATCAATGATTTTTCAGCATGTCTGTACAATCACAACAGTTGATAGACGATGAAGAAAATAAATCAAATACTGGCTAAAACTATCTGGATCAGGAATGATCATATGACCGGATATTCTTTAGATAATTACTCGAACATCTTGACTAGTTATCTTGTTCTTGTTGTTGTTGTTGTTTTTCTTGTTCTTGTTGTGATTGAATGGACTTTTTCGCTGGAGTATGTAAAGTTTTCCATTCATCCCATTCGTTGTGATAAATCACATCGATGGTTATGGAATTTGGCACAGTGACTTCAGCAGTTGTTGTTTCACCATTGAGATTATAATTGTTGTTGTATTCATCATATAAACGGTAATAATAATCCGTTGCAAGTTGGGTTATCAATGTCAACGTTAGATTCCGTTCATGTGCCATTAAGCAAACTGTACTACGTTCGATAATTAAACGTAGTTGTAACAAGTAACGATATTTCGCTGAATCATCATTGGAGAAATGTGAAGAGAGAAAAGCTAATAATTTATATTCTTGTTCACTTATATCAGCATAATCAATGAAGAATCTTGAACACATTAATTTTTCCAATTGCCATGACGCAATGCCATTGTCATATGGACGATAACCTCGTGTTAACAGAAGACAATATTTCAATAATCCTCCACCACAGATACGTTCCGGTGATGTTGTGGCAATCAATCGTCGATTCAAATGAGTTAGAGCACTTTCGAAACTTCCGTAAACACATTCGACTGATATGGATGGCAAACGATGTATTGATGAATAACGATTATTCTTCGATGAACGATGATCTAAAGAGAAAACATCATTTCATTTATTTGAAGTGCGTTTTAATATGCAATTGATCTTATTCATCGCGTGGGTTTTTATTAGTTACATGTATATATCCCATTTTTATCTCTAGTTCTACACTGATTAAGGCTCTTCCATTCGCCCACTCAACTCTTTTTTTGCCGCACGCGATCTGAATACAAAAAACAAGCAAGTCTCTCGTCTATACTTTGATTGATAAAAAAGCACACGATTCAGGACGGAAAAAGAATCACATCAGTAAACTACAGCTGTCGTTCGATTTTTTTTCTTCTCAAGACCAGCTGATACTTACCATAGGATTGTTTGGAATGATAATTATATTGATTGTAATGTAGCTGCTTTTTATTCGATGTTTGTTGATATTTCGATATTTGTTCATAATGATCAAGCAGTGGATCGAGAAGGATTTGAAACGAATCTACACTGAATTGAAATTGTCTTTTCAATCGATCGACAAATTTCAACTCGATATTTTGCCCATTGACATTACACAACGACATCAGAGCCCAGGAATCATTAGTCGATGGATTACTGACACGTACAACTTTTTCTACATATGCTGCTTGAATAATAATTGGAGAAAATGATAATTGAGTCGTTGAATTTGTCGAGGATATGTGTCGCGCTAAACATTCACAGACAGTTGTTTTGATTTGTGTCCATGTTGATTCAGATGATAAATCACAACGAAATATGAAGTCAATATCAGAATAGGAGAAAGATTTATCGTGTGTTAAGACATAGGAAGCGGCACCTAA